TTAATATTTAATCCTTTCTAATTATTAAATTACTGAGTAGAGTTAAAAAATAAGTTAATGCTAATTGAATGAAAACATTTGTTAACAGGAAGAGGAAAATTTCTTGTACTACCACGAAAATTTCTATATTCCAAATTTTGTGTATTCATTWKTMATAATTGCTTTAAAAAACGAAAAAAAAAATGAACACGTCCAGTTTGTGAGAATCTGAGTACTTGAGCATTTATATTTAAGTGAGAAAACTGTGACATTTTTAATAATGCACACCCTATAGTATACTGTAAAATAGGAAACATACATATAATGAAAGAAGTCAAATATCTATTGAAGAACTTACTTTGAAGCGACGTTATTWCAGCATCACTCTAAAATACTGTCAAAGAGCAGAAAAAGGATATATAATATCTACTCTTTGGACCTGTTTCGAAAAACAATACTTTTGCAGCAAATACGTTTAATCTCTAAACAAAATAATTTTGATAGTTTTTTTAAATTCAGCAATAATATAAGGGCTTTTAGCATACATTTTTAGAGCAATCTTTATAGCGGTACCTAAAAATGTATTGCCTGTTGCTTTCGATTAATTATTAAATATTCTGTTTCGCTCTGAGGATGTAAGCGTCTCATGCATACATTTTTTTCACAGTGTTCTAAAGACCCGAAAAATCACCATAGGTTAAATTTTTTAGTTAAAAATGAAAAATTACGTATTTATATTCGAATATGTGTTAAACTAGAATGAAGTAAGTTCTTCAGTGTTGAGGCATTTGACATATCTTTTATTGTAGATCGTATTTAAATAAAGCTATTTCTTGCTGTTGTATCCAAAGAAAACATTACGGTTCAACTAATTTTCCCATTACAATGGTTTTATTAAAATTATTTTTTGGATAATGGAAACGTCGAGGAATTGAAATACTTTTTGCAATAGTTATAATAGTTCTTCCAGTTATCGAGCTTCAGTATGGAAACATTAAAATGAGACCATCCTGCAAGCCACAAATTTAAATTATTTCTTGAGGACTGAACCGCCGGGAAAGTTTAATAAACTTGAAACTTTTCACCTAAAGAATTGCAGAAATGTTATCTGATTTCGGTTCATTAACAGCAATAAATATCAAGTCTACAGGCGTCGTTTATTTCGTCACACTAGTGGCTTTGCCATTGACACATTTTTGCTCAAAATTTTATCGGTTTCTAGACTAATGTATTGATTTGGCAAAATTGAATGTATGCAAATTTTAATTTGAATGCAACTTATTAGCTGTTTGTCTTGCGAATGATTGTGAGTTGATAATGAGAGCTGTTTTTATATAAGGACTGCATTTCCAGTCGAAATGTAATATCGAATGTATCAACTAGCGGATATTTAAGGACATGCTTAGGTTCAAGAGGCAAAAGAAAAGTTATTCTGAATATTTTGTTGGTGACAAATTTGTGAAAAAATGATCAATTCTATAAAATTTGATGACTGAACCGCAGTGTTAAATCATTAAACCAACCTTTCGCTTTTACTTTTTTTGTATCCTTATGCGATTCGGAAGGTTCTAGTKTATTAGATAGGATTTGGGTCTACTTGCAGTAATAAGCGTTTACAGGATTTTAGAGTGTAATATTTTTATTAGAACTTTTTAGACGCGCCTTGCATATTAATGCGCAAATAAACTTTGTGAACAATATTGCAATTTACTATACAATTTTTAATAAGCTACCTATTTTTGTTATACATGTTTATGTGATAGGAAGAGGCGCTTGAGTTGAATGAAAGTGTGATAAGCCTTTAGTGGCACTTAAAAAACTTCTAATTCAAATATTTCATTATTTTAACGAGTTTCTTAATAGAATTGAGACTCCACCTTGAATAGTATATTGCTCCATCTAATTACTTCTGGAACAACAGTATTAATTTTCGCCGGTCATTTTTCTTTAAGACACGATGTATATAAAATAAGTAATCTAAGCACACCCACCATCATAGATTAAAGCGTATGATTAACGTTATTACGCCGAGATTTGGGTCAGAATGAAATGATATTTTTGACAGGACAATTATTATGAACTGATCGAACAATGCGTTCCAAGGTGCGAGCTTGCTACACCTTTTACCTTCCGCATCCTTCCGTTAATAATCGACATTCCGATGTTAAATCCGAGCGGCTAAATTGCCACGTTTATAACCGATCAAATAAAAATTGATGGGAAACAAAAATTTGAAACAATTGAGTTTGCGTAAGTCGTGATTCAGCACTAAGAATTCTGCCCTTAGCGATTTACGAATGTTCAAACCAAAGAACGGAATATTTTCTTTACAGTACATAAACAATGAGCAGTAATTTATAGCACCATTTCCTAATTGACTTGTTGATATTTGAATTCAAATAAAAATCTTCTGGAGGTTGCTGATCTTCTACAATCTCTTTCCCTCTAGAGCGAACTTATGGGAACTTCGCAAGTGCTCACTTAATTCAAATGCACTTTATGTCTAGCCTTAATGTAATTATTATTCAACTATTGTATATAGGGAAACATATGGAAAAATTTTACTCCATTTTCCCTAGTTGTTGTTTCTTGGAAAACCCAAAACGGTTACAACCTTTTCAAGCTCCAGAGGAATATAATTTCAATCCTCTAAATCCAACTTTCATGAAAAGAGTGCCTCCTATTAAATTTTCGTTTCAGAAATGAAAAATGAAAAATAATTTTGACTCCCTTCTTAAAATCAAAACCATTTATTATCACTCAATTTCAATACCAGGCATCCATTCAGTGTGAGTTGAATTAATTGTAATTTATTTGCAAATTAATTTCTAGCATATTATTGATGAATTATAATGATGAAAAATATAATTGGCTGGATAATCATTATTCAAAAAGATGAATGGGTTGTTGAGGGCCAGTAGGTTGGACTACACAATCCCCAGATCTAAATCCTTTAGTTTTTTTATGTGAATAAGAAAAATGCCGCACTGAATTCACTTATAAGATTAGAGATGCTTGTATTGAAATATGAGTCCCATCAAACCACATTCCTCGTTCAGTTGTATGCAGGTATGAGTTATACCGTTATAAATCGTGTAGGTACAACACTTTTTTTATACAACACATATTTAGTAATACCTACCCAAAATGTCTTTATTTGTAGCCTGTAGTCGATCTCAGATTAAGCAAAAAAGCATTTTTGTTTGTTATTTGTCGAAAATGGGTCAATTGATAATCTTTATTGTCATAACAAGTTAAAAAGATCAATTCTATAGAAGGTAGTATCTAATCTGATCTAACAATGTCTTAATGTAAAAAAAATGAAGCGGATTTATTCGTTATCGGACATCCTTTGATGACCTAAAGTAGATGCTTCAAAATAAGTGTAATTTTTGTCGAGAAATTACACAAAAAGCATTAATTTGTATGTTTTTTTTTAACTTCTGTCAACAGACATTATATCAGATCAAATCGATCATTTTATGTTAATTCGGACACCCTTTAAGTCGATTAACATTTTACGCATTTTCAACTATCCTCATACTAATCCTAAAAAAATACTATTTTGTAACCGCTTTTATTAGCTGAAGGCTTATTTAGATTGCCTATTCGTTGAAAGAAAATGTGAGTGTGTGTGAGCTTAATGGAAATTGGTTGCGATAAAAGAACAATTTTGCTAAACATTTATCTAAAAAGGTTTCGGTAAAGTGCTGAACTACATCAAATAAATTTAATCGCAAAATATGTGTATTTAGAATATTAATATTCTAAATATGAATATTTTACAAATTACACTTCGTATACAAACGTCTCATAAAAGGATAACTTAATTTATTAAATTAATTGAAAAATATGAAACCACTTCTTTTCAATTGCTTTTCGACCATTTTTGACACAACTCTAGTAAATGCATTTTATGGAGAGATTCTTTGCTTCGTCGCCTATATCATCAGATTAAAACATCGTTAGATTTTTTTTGAAGATACCATTGCAATGTAAGTTTTATACCGATATACTAAATAACATCGATTATTTTAAAGACATAATAAAACCAATAAAAACAAACGTACATCAATCCTTCCAATTGATTTTAGTTTGGTGGGGTCACTTTCGCTAAGGCCAGTTTGCAAAACGTTATTTACAAAATATGCTCAATTAGAAATACCTACTTCAACAGCATTTCCTCAAAAACACTTCGATTCGATTTTAAATCAATTTGATTATAAAGATTAACGTTTATTTTGCCTCAATTTTTTAATTATGATTTTTGTATCACTGTTTGTTAAATAAATCATAATATATTACATCGTATAAATGGTGAATTGTAGTTGTGAGATTTACACGTTTATTTTTCACTTCATTGGTATTTTAACGAAAAGATGAATAAAAGCTCACATCAAGTCAACGTCAAAATAAGCGAATCTGGCAAAAATTATTTTACTATTGCGTGATGGAACTTTTTAGTGGTCCTTTTTACTCACTGCTTTACTTTTCCATTATTCCTGGTATAATTAGTTTTCGATTCCTTGCGGTGTCCTAGGCAACTTTATATACAGCAATTTTATCCCATTGAATCAACGTGGACCAATGAAATATCGCCAACAGTGACAGTCAAATTCAGTGAACAGTTCAACAGAAAAACTCTTATTTTCATTGATTGCAACAGTTGTTTAATGTGCAAGTAAATACGGTGCAAGCTTTTAATAATTTTGAAGTAACATAACTATAAATTATATTGGAAGTCCATTCAATTCTCGTATTAAAGAAAGTTTCCCGTTCTAACCTAAAACCAGTAAATTTGTACTCTTTGGGGGTGATTTTTGGAAATATCAAAGGAAATGGAGCTGCCCCTAGTCATTTTAGTTGCGCTCTCCCTTATCCTCTCTTCACAGGCCCTGAAACCGGGAGAATGTGAAGGTAAGTGCCAAATAAACAGCAATTTTTCATGGTGATTATGCTCTGCCAACACAACAGTTTTTTATAAGTTAAAAACGAGTCAAACATTTTTATACAAATGTACATACTCTACTTTAAGTCCTCACGTTTCAATATATAATCGTTACTTTATACCGACTTAAGGAAACCATGAAATTTTCTATATTTAACCAAAGTATCACTGTTTTGCCATTACAAGCTGTTAAGTTCATTTTAAATAGTTTATTAAACGGATTACCCATTAGAGTTTTTCCTAATCTTGAATATGTAGTTCGGCTTTCACCCCTCTATGATATTTTCAGTGTGTATCAAGGTATTGGATAGATTTAGAAGCAATTTATCCGAAGATACTCTTAAAGACTTTAAGAAGATAGAAAAAGAATTCAAAGGATACTGCAAGGATCTCAAGAACAAGGAAAATAGATTTGTAAGTATCGGGGCCTCTAGATCATTTAATTATCTGTTGAATCATTGCATCTACAATTTCCTTGATAGTCTTGCGGCTTGCAACATATTGAAAGGCAAGACATGCTTCGATTACTGTTACGATAATGTTGATTTTAGTAGTAAGAGTAGTTATAACTTTATTGCTCTTATTACAGTGTTACTATCTTGGAGGCTTAGAAGAATCTGCCACTGGTATATTGGGTGAAATGTCCAAGCCAATGACGTGGTCTTTACCATCAGATAAAATCTGCGAAAAGCTAAAGAAAAAAGATGCCCAAATCTGTGAGCTCCGATATGATGTACAAATCGACCTTAAGACAGTCGATCTTAAAAAATTGAAAGTGAGGGACTTGAAAAAAATCCTCAATGATTGGGGTGAGGAATGTTCAGGCTGCATTGAAAAAAGTGAATACTTGAAAAGGATAGAGGAACTGAAACCAGTTCATACTGAATTATAATGTGATTAGCTCTTTATTTAGGACCTTTGTTGATTAACTCAAGAATAGCAGCGTATGTAATTGTCGATTGTCTAGCTGTACTTGGTTTTTATTACCTTTTAATTTACACTTACACTACTATATTGAATATGGTGCGATTTATATAGTTGAAGTTACAGCAAATTGAAGTGAATTAAATTTTAGCAATATGCAATCACAATTTTCAATTGTTCCTTTGTCACATTAAAGTAATAGCTGAATGAGTAATTTTTTACTTTATAGGTAAATTATTTTTCGTTTCTAAGAAAGTATTTATATTTGTAATAAATATTGTGTTGTTATATCAAGGAAATGTTGTTTTTATTCAG